CTATCATCTGCTATCATTTCTCTGATGCAATCATAGGCCTCCTAGTTTGACATCACCTTCATTTTCAAACAAAAAGACCAAAACAAAGCGCCATTCAATACTTGTAGAAAATCATCTTAGAGTTTATTTGCAGATTCCGATGCTGTCAAAGGACCTAGCCTTTGTACAACAAAGCCGCTTTGGCTTTCAACGAGCTCCTTCTCCTTCTCTAGTTGTGACCGAATGTAATTGGTTTTGCCGAGCCATTCCTGCATACCACCGCCCGTGAGTCACCTACATGTGCAACATCACAATCGGTGTGGCTATCGAAAATGCTTGTGGTTGTCGACGTACTGTCCTTTGGTTACGATATAGTTCTCTATTCCATCATCCATTTTAAACTCCTAAATCACAACAATTAGTAACGAAGACACATCAACTTGCGTCTCTATTGATCTCTTTTCAGAAACCTTCAAAATAAAAAGGATAGACAGCAGAAGATCCGCTCAAAATCAGATAGAATTGGATGAAGCTGAGAAAAATAATCATTTCATAAATCGAAGAATCTCACGTATACTAGTATTGAGACAAATTCTGAAAATGAATACAATAAGGAATCAACCTTCATAGCCAAACTGAAAACAAGACAACACAGCTACCAAACGTGACCATAACAATACAACTAGAATATGAAGATCAGTACAGAACACACCCAGAATCAAACCCTGATACTCTCTAAAACTTGGCCTGAATGTTGCTTATAATAGCGGGATCAGTTTGGAAGGCCTTTGCAAGGATATCAGTGGAGATGTCCGGCTTTGATCCAAAAACTGCATTTGCAATGGTAACAACACCTGGGTTTTGGCTGCTCAAAGCTGCAAGGGCAACTGCAGGGCCATACCCGATATTCTGTTGGAAGTGAATTAGACCCACTGGGAACACGAACACGTCGCCCTTGTTCAACGTCTTGGTTATGAGACGGTTTTCCGTGTTGGAGGTGACAAAGCCAACGAGGAGTGTGCCTTCAAGGACTGTCAAGATTTCGGAGGCGCGAGGGTGTGTGTGGGGAGCGTTGATGCCCCATGGGGCGAAGTCGATGCGAGCAAGAGAGATGCCAAGAGTGTTGAGCCCTGGGATTTGGGCAACATTGACAGGAGTTACTTGAGAGCCGACAGGGTTGTTTATGGCGGCTGCTACATTCAATCCACTCCAGAAGAAGTCTTTGGCTTCTACAAGTTTGGGATCCTTGCAAACTAGGCCATTCACTTTCACTATATATCACAAACAAACAAAGCATCAACGTTAAATCCCAATAAACAGCCACAAATCCATTCTCTTTTACCACCTCTGTTCACTCTGTTGAACAAGTAAACACACAAACTAGAAGGTTGATATGTACGTATACTTACAAGGATTGTTTGGATCTGCAACACAAAAATCTTGAAGTGGGCTGGGATCGGATGCCAAAGCAAGGGAAGAAGTTATAGCAAGGAATGTGAGGAACAAAATTCGAGTGGCCATTGATGAAAAAATCTTGAGAAATAGTTGGTATTGTTGTTTAGGAGACGAAGTGGATATGCTTTGCGTTGAGTTGTGGTGGATGGATTTATAAGAACCCCAAGGAGGTGGCCTGGTCTTATACATGATTAAAAAATCCTTGGTTGATTGAAGGGCGGCTGGAGAACATTTCGTAGCTTAAAGCGTTACCCATTCATAGGTTTGAAAAAGTATAAAATTGGGTTGATGACTGACCAACCAAAGAGTTTCACATTTGTATGATTCATGGTTGATATCAAGACTTAGTTCAACACAGACTTGGTATTGAAAGTACATTAAATATGAATGGTTAAACACTTACAACCAAATTATAATAATCACAACAGTCTTCACTTTGTTTTCTCTCATTCTCATACGAAAGCTATTTTTTAGGACTTATTTATTAATAATTTTGAAGATTTATTTCATACTTCATGCACATATTTATTGAATTTGTCAAAATAAGTGAGATCTAAAAGAATACTTTTATAATAGTTCAAGCTCACTGCCAACAGATATCGTCTGCTTTGTTATGTGTCACCATCATTCTCACAATTTTAAAATGAGTCTACTAGGGAGCAGTTTCTACACTCTTGTAAGAAATGCTTTCTTCCTCTCTCCAATCGATGTAGGATCTAACAATCCACCCTCCATGGGACTCAGAGTCCTCGCTGACACGTCACTTGGTAACATCTCAATCCTACCGCTAGCAGACATTATCCGCTCTTGCCTGTTATGCATCGCCATCTGCCTCACGGTTTTAAAATGCGTCTTCAGAGATATGTTTCCACACCCTTATAAGGAATGTTTCGTTCTCCTCTCCAATTGGTGAATTTGAGCCGTTACAAATGGTATAAGAGCCAGACATCATGCGTTGTGCCAGTGAGGACGCTAGCCCCCAACAAGGATGGATTGTGAGATCCCACATCGGTTGGAGAGGGGAACAAAGCATTCCTTATAAGGGTGTGAAAACCTCTCCCTTGTAGACGCGTTTTAAGACTTTGAGGGGGAGCTAGGAAAGCTCAAAGAAGACATTATATGCTAGCGGTAGACTTTTCTTACGAGTCATATGAGCTGAGGGCACAACATAGCGCAATCGCTCTCAAGTAATACAAATTGTAGAGGTAGTGTTAAGAGATGTAGCTCAACCATATCTAGACGCCCAAAATGCGTACATTATTGAATTCCCATGTGTAGCATGGAAACGCTGCTCCAAGCATCTTGTGCATTATAGTACAACGTCTAGATGTTGTCTTTAGCATCTCAACGTTGTCATGCTTATGTACATATCAACTTTTTATTCGAGATTTGGGGTGGCTTTTCGAGCCCAAGATCATGGACCGTTGATGGGGACGAACGATTTACACAGAAACGTCAGTTCTTCTCTTTCTCTCAACTTTGTTGTTGATTCATTAAACACATAAACCAAACCTTTTAATCTTAGGGTATCCTTTTAGTTTATAGATAGAAGTAAGTAGACGTGGCCAAAATGATTAAGTGAAGCATAGTATCATACTTTAAATAATAATAATAACATTAAATTACATTATACTTTCAAATGAAGAATCTCACATATTATAATATTAAGACAAGTAGCCAAACTGAAAACAAGACAACTAAAACATGAAGATCAGAACGAACACACCCAAAACCAAACCCTGATACTGTCTAAAACTTGGCCTGAATGTCGGCTATAATAGCGGGATCGGTTTGGAAGGCCTTTGCAAGGATATCGGTGGAAATGTCCGGCTTTGATCCAAACACTGCATTTGCAATGGTAACCACACCTGGGTTTTGGCTGCTCAAAGCGGCAAGGGCGACTGCAGGGCCATACCCGATGTTCTGTTGGAAGTGAATTAGGCCCACAGGGAACACGAACAAGTCGCCCTTGTTCAACGTCTTGGTTATGAGACGGTTTTCCGGGTTGGAGGTGACGAAGCCAACCAGGAGCGTGCCTTCGAGGACTGTCAAGATTTCGGAGGCGCGAGGGTGCGTGTGGGGAGCGTTGATGCCCCATGGGGCGAAGTCAATGCGGGCGAGAGAGATGCCGAGGGTGTTGAGCCCTGGGATTTGGACAACATTGACAGGCGTTACTTGGGAGCCGACGGGGTTGGTTATTTCGGCTGCTACATTCAGCCCACTCCCGAAGAAGTCTTTGGGTTCCACAAGCTTGGGATCCTTGCAAACTAGGCCGTTCACTTTCACTGTGTCACAATGAAACAAGCATCGTCAATATTGAAATCCAAAAATAGATGCATATATATACATATATATACTTAGAATGGTTACCAGGACTGTTAGGATCTGCCACACAGAAATCTTGAAGTGGGCTTGGATCGGACGCCCATGCAACAGAACAAGTTATAGCGAGGAGCGTGAGGAAGAAAAGTGGGGCGGCCATGATGAGCTGATCTTCACGAAAACTTGGAGATATTCAGGTTAGATATGCTTTAACTTTGAATTGTGTGGATGAATTGGGGACATGAAGAAGCTGTATTTATAGATGAGTTGGAAACATTTTAATAATTGAAGGACGGCTGAAGAAACTTTCGAAGCTGAGCACAGCACGCAAAGAGAAGACTTGGTGGTTGAAGGATGCAGGATTAAGTATATGAATATTGTTCAAACACTTAAACTAAATAATAAAAATAAAACGCGAATTTGACTTAGCTTTGTTCAACTCTCACTTCACCATAATTGTTTAGTTGGATAATTAATCTTAAATAAGCACCGTAATTAAGTAGTTATTAATAACAGAACACAAACTTGACCCAGTTTTGTCCAATTCTTAATAGATGCTTTCTTCCTGTCTTCGAAAACAGATACTTCATTGAAACATTTGAGGAACACAGAGTTTGGTCGTCCGCAGGAAAAGGGGAAAACATCCAAGGATATTGCATGAGCTAATATGATTATGCTGCTCCATGGAAATAGTTAGGGTATGTCACTTTTAACTCGTGATCGCAAATTTTATCTCGATTAATAAGAGTCCACATAGTACTTTAGTAATTGGTGGGGCTAGAGAGTCACTCCCCTCGTATACTTTATGCTGTGTGGAAACTATTAAAGAGTCGTCCGCTAATTTTTTTTTACTCTTTACTAGTGAATTTTTCTCGGTCGGCTAGGATCCATATTGTATGCAACGTTGAATTGGTAGAAACCCATGCAATATTTTTGTAGCTGACAGATGTACATAGTGATTTTTGTTTGAGATTATACCATCGGAAGACTTTTAAAGGGTAGCCAACTAATCTTTAATGATCAAGTAGCCTCGATTGACTAGTACCCATATTTCTATCAAATGATGAGATAATAACAAGAGGGTTGTGTTCTAGACCATTTAATAATCAACTAATTCCTAATAGTACTATGATTGAATTGATTTGGAGAATAATTGGAAGAAGAGTGGTAAGGAATTGGGTTTTGCATGATGATGAGCTTTATTTAATAATCCAAACGTGATGAAAGTATGAAACGATGAAGAATATTTGAAACGTGGCCGTTTTATTTAATAATTCTTAGTGGAGAGTAAACCAAGATAGTGAATACCCAAATACAAATGAAACACACCAAAATCCCAAAAGCATTGTCCACACACACAACATAAATTAGATTTATTAAAAACTAAAGTCTGTGGAATTGAGTTCAGAACTTGGCTTGAATGGCAGCAATGATGTGCGCATGAGTCCGGAATGCCTTTGCCAAAATATCAATTGGGATGGCTGGTTCGGATCCAAACACAGTATCTCCAATAGTGATAACGCCTGCGTTTTGGCTGCTCAGGGCTGCAATCGCCACTGCGTTCTCATACCCAACGTTCTGCTGAAAGTGGACCATACCCTCTGGGAAAACAAACACGTCCCCTTTGTATAGGACCTTGGAGAAGAGCCGGTTGCCGTCTTGGTTGGAGGACACAAACCCTACAAGCAGGGTGCCTTCGAGAAGGGTCAAGATCTCTGTGGCGCGTGGGTGCGTATGGGGTGGGTTGATGCCTTGGGGGATGAAGTCAATGCGTACCATTGAGATTCCTAGAGTGTTGAGTCCACGTAGGTTGTCGACGTTGATTGTTTTCACACCAGAGCCTACCTCCTTCTTTATTTCGGCCGGGGTTTGCAGCCCACTGGCGAAGAAATCGTCTGCATTAACTTGCATGGGATCCTTGCAAACAAATCCATTCACCTTCACTGCACCCATCAAAACCAATTACTTATATTACCCCATTTACGTACTTCTCCAAGACCAACCAAGCCCTACAAGCTACGATCAACTTTCAAAGCCATAAGAATTAAATGGAAATCCAAGTTCAAACCATATTGCATAAAAAAACAATATATACCAGGATTTTCTGTATCCGCAACGCAGAAATCTTGTAGAGGACTGGGATCGGATGCAAGAGCAATGGAGGAGCAAGCCGCAGCAAAGAGGGCTAAGGAGAGAAGAATCTTCGAGGCCATATTATTGGAGCTTTCTTACTCGGGTAAAGGCAATGAATGCTGTTGTGAGGAACATACGTTCAGCTGCATGCCTTTTTTATAGGGCAAAACAGTGGGGTTTGGGTAAGTATGAAAAGGAAAAGGTCCAATGCCAAACATAATCAACGCTTGTTTTTTAAGCTCTTAAAACCCAAATCATATAAGAGTAGGGCATGATAAAAAGTCTAGTACCTCCGTATTAATATAATGCAAGTATAAGTGACGTAGTCTGCAAGTAACAGGGATTTTGATTATAATATGTGCAGATTAATTTGGTAAGTTGAGTTATTGAGTTGGTGTGTATGCATTGGATATTATATTGTTTGATAAGTTCATGAGAGCGATGTAATAATCAAGTGGGTTAGTTTTGATTTTGTCAACGTTGAATTTAACAGCCCACCTTGTGATGGGTTTAAATTATTTACATTCTATTTATATTTAATCAACAATGTCTCACTCAGTTTCGTTAAACATAAATAAATGTATTAGTGATTATTATTAAAATGCTAAGTTGCTTAATTATCAGCATGTTCCAAGGATAAGATCAATATGTAATTGTATACCAACCAATTAAAAAAACACGACTTTTCAACGTTCAAATCAATTTAATCCATATTGTAATCTTACCCACTTAGCGAAATAATCCGTCATTTTATTGCTACCATAACCAAACTCAATGATTGAGATGGCCTAAAGCTCCTTTACAGTGAAAGCAATTGTTATAGGGAAAATTAATTATCAATATGGCCTAAAGCTATAAAAGCTTAGCTTGCTGGGGGTATAAAAGCTTAATGGCCGAGAGAGGTATTCAAATAAGTCATTTGAGTCTAGGAGGTCGCCATGAGTGATACATATGGCAATCGACCAAGGGTTCGCATAGCCAAACCGTTGAGGTTAACTCCCACAAGATCATCCGATAGTAGTACGATTGACCCTACGAGAGTCAACTCATGGTTGAAAAGGCTAGGGTTTGAGTTTGTAGTCACGGTCAGTTAATGGTACAACTATGTAATGGTCTAACTCGGTTAAGATATGTCCAAAAAAGGAACAAAACATTTCTTATAAGAGCGTGGAAACCTCTTCTGAGGGAAAGTCTGGAAGGAAAAACTCAAAGAGGATAACATGTGTTAGCGATAAACTTAGGCTGTTACAAATGGTATCAAAGCCAGTCACCAGACAGTGTGAGACACTGGTCGGAATAAGACTAGATCATCTCTATAGTAGATGCATTTTAAAACCGTGAGGCTGACAACGGTGGGTAACGGGCTAAAGCAAACAATATCTACTAGTAATTGACTTAAGCTGTTTCACATATGTTGCTTTGTACAACTATTATCAACTCGGCTATTGACTCGACTATTGAACTATTCAAATGAAGATACCATTTGTTAATAGCTAAGTACATAGCTTATATTTATATTAATATGGAACTAAACTTTATATAATATCAACTCCACCCCTCGGAAGTAAGAGAATATGGAACTAACCTGTTTTCAAATGATATAATATAACAAATGTAAAAAACACTGCCGGCTCAGTGTAATATAACTAAACTTTATAGCTAAGTACTAGACAATGCTTGTTTCATCGTGACACAGTGAAAGTGAATGGCCTAGTTTGCAAGGATCCCAAGCATGTGGAACCCCAAGACTTCTACGGGAGTGGATTGAATGTAGCAGCCGACGTAAACAACACTGCCGGCTCCCAAGCAACTCCCGTCGGTGTTGCCCAAATCCCAGGGCTCAACACTCTCGGCATCTCCCTGGTTCGCTTTGACTTCGCCCCACACGGCATCATCGCTCCCCACACGCACCCTCGCGCCACCGAAATCTTGACAGTCCTCGAAGGCACGGTCCTGGCCGGCTTCATCACCTCCATCCCGGATAACCGTCTCATAACCAAGACGTTGAACAAGGGCGACGTGTTCGTGTTTCCTGTGGGTCTCATTCACTTCCAACAGAATGTCGGGAATGGGCATGCGGTCGCCCTTGCAGCTTTGAACAGCCAAAACCCAGGTGTTATTCCCATTGCAAATTCAGTTTTTGGATCACACCCGGACATCCCCACGGATATCCTTGCAAAGGCCTTCCAAATCGATGCCGCTATTATAACCGACATTGAGGCCAAGTTTTAGACAGTATCAGGGTTTGAATTGTGGGGCGTGCATTGTACTGATCTTCACATATATAATAATATATATACACGCTTTTATTTAGGTGTGATTTAAAAAATTAAAATAAAAATGTATTATATACACGCTTTTATTTAGGTGTGATTTAAAAAGTTAAAATAAAAATGTAAAAAGTAAGAATAAGAGAATAAAGAAGTAAAACGTGAGATCTGTCAGAATAATAATGTATTAAAATGACATTTACTAAACTACCCTCCTTATTTTGTCTAATACGAATATAGTAAATAAGTAGTGTTGAAGAAAAATCGGCGAAGAATATACAATAAACGTGAAAAAAATGGTTAAAACTGCAGTGAATGAGATGCCCCTTATTTATTTTTTTTAACAAAAACCTTTTACTTATATCCAATCATGTTAAAGACGCATTTTGTTGTTTATTTTTGTGTGGGTGGAGAATATGTTATTGCCTTTTCTTTTTCATATTTTAATACATTCACATTTATTGGAATTTGTTAGGTGACCGCCGATCTTCCTCCCCTGATTAAATTGTTGTTTGAAAATAAATAATAAAAAAGTAACATTTATTTTCATCTACTACACTCTAATCATTAGTTTGTGTACTTCTCAGAGAGGCAAAAAATCATTTTTTAAGAACACTGATTTCATACATCAACAAAGGGCGATGTAGTTTTGTTTGTCTGAATTTAACGTTATTCCCTACAAATATATAAAAAAACAACTGTTTCCTTGGAGGAAATAATTAAGAAGTAGTTTAAATGACACCAAATGCATCGAGTCTTAACCATAAAAATAAAAATAGAGATTTGTATTTAAATATTAAGGGACACATGAAACTAATCCAACTCACGCGTAATGGTAATATTAGGAAAATTTAACAAATTTTTTCAACACTCACGCCTTGTCTCCTCCAACCAATCATTCTCTCTATTAAAACACACTCTCTTCCGCCTTCCTTCCTCACTTCTTCTTTTCTAATCCATTCTGCAACCATGCCTCTCCCATGGAAGAAGACCAAGTCCAATCCAATTTCCCGAATCGTCGCCGATCTCCAACCCCCCTCCCGCTCCGCCTCCCTCGTCGTCCAAACCGGCTTCCCCACCTCCGTCGTCGATCTCTTCGTCAAGAATCGCGATCGACTCAAGAAGCACTCCCTCAAGAAGACCAAACATAAGCATTCCATTCTCCACGTCTCTGAACCGCTTCCGCCGCCTCGTTCTCCCTCTCTCCCCCCTGATCATTCTCCTCCTCCTCTTCCCGTCGATGGCACCGTCGTTATCGCCGCCGCTGGACACGGGGTGGATCATCTCGAAGAGAAGTCCACGGTGGCTGATGTGGATTTCAATGTCGTCGTCGGTGACGGCGGTCGATCCAATGGCGATACAAATGCGATTTTTGAAGTTCTTGTTCTGGCGGCGAAGATGTTTCTGGCGGTGGTTCCGGTGTTGAGTACTAAACAACTCGCCCTCGGGGTTACTCTCTCTGCGTTCCTCCTCTTTCTTCTAGAAATTTTAGGGCAATTCGCGGCTCGTTTCTTCGATCCTTCTTCGATCCGAAATCGGTTTTTGTCGACAACCAACGCAGAGTGCCGCAGAGTCGGATTCATTGATCGAGGAGGAGGAGGAGAAGGAGAAGGAGAAGGAGAAGGAGAAGAAGAAGAAGAAGAAGAAGAAGAAGAAGAAGAAGAAGAAGAAGAAGAAGAGTTTCCGGCGATTAACTCTGCCTCCAATAAGGAAATCGAAATGGTGGAATCAAATTGTGATGAGGAAGAATCAGGGTTGGATGGAGGGTTGCAAGGTGAGGCACTCCGGAATGGGGAAAAGGGAAGGGGTTGTAATTGGGAAGTGGAAGGTGAAAACGAGGAGATGGGGAAGAATCAGAAAAGTAGAAGCTCGAAACTGAAATCGAAAATCATAAAGAAACTGATACCGAAGAAACTGCGGAGTGGGAAGAGTTTGAAAAAGAAGAAGAAGGAGAAGAAGAAAAGGAAACAAGAAGGGGGCATCATGATCATGGAAAACCAACAAGGCATAGAATGGAGCTGTGAGGAAGAAGAACGCGAAGCTTGGGGATTGCACCAAAATTGGGAGCCTGAAGAAGAAGAAGAAGAAGAAGAAGAAGAGGAAGAAGAAGAAATAGGATCATCAACAATGGTGAAAGGGGAAGGGGAAGTAGAAGAAGAAGAAGAAGAGGATGAAAGGAAGAAGAATCTGGAGTGTAAATTGGTGATAATGATGATTCTGGTGGGGCTTTGCGGGGGCCGATTTGTGGCACTTGTTGTTACAGTCTCAGGCTGTTTCATCTTCAAATTCATCAAATTTGGGTGAAGGGTAGTGCTGTCCGGTAACATAGGATTATTTCTTCCCCCCTTTTAGCTCTCTTTTTCATTCCGATAGGTGAGAGTGATGGGTGTATAGTGGGTTACTAATGACGAGATTTTTTAACAACTAAATTGTGTATTTGTTGATATAAAGCTTTGGTATTTATGAACTATGTAAAGTCGAGGGTTCTTAGAATTCTGAAAGAAGCCTACAAAAAAATGAAATAATGGGAATTTGGAGGGTACAAATAAGTGAGTTGAGAGTGTTGGTGTGAGGGGAGACGGAATAAAATTTAATACATGGGTTTTCTGCTCTTACTTCATGTCCTGTGTTATTTGTTTCAAATATCCAAATTACGGATTATTATGCCTCCCCTACTCTAAATTTATTATTAACACTAATATTGCCATTTAAATTATGAGTATAAACAATGCATCAGAATTTGAGCCTAAAACTATTTCAATATTACTCTACCGTGTTGGGTACTTGAACTTGAATTGTGTGGCTGTTGATGGTGGGTTCATTCCCCCGAAACCTCATTTTTATACAGCATCCATTAAAATAATATATGTACACATATATGCATATCAAAGGTGATTGAGGAATCATAAGTTTCAGCATGCTACGAGAGGACCGTCATGATTTGAAGGAGATGTTAAGCATCATCACCCCCATACTTTCTTCCTTATTTTATATTTGAAATATCTTTTAAAAAATGAAGCTTTAGATTCTTTTATGATGTGTTGGGTGGGACCTAACCAAAACAAATATATTTGATTTGATACTCATGATATTGTTTTAATAGTGTTGCCCAACTTTCTTATTTTAAATTGTTTTGATAGTCATGTTATCAAATTTTAAGTTTTGATTGTAAATCTTAGGTTTTTGATTTATTCTGTTACAAATCTTTATAGTTATCCTCATTATCATAATTTATTAATAAATCAACAACAGACATTAAACCTTTAGGTTGCATGCTCTCAAATAATAATAATAAATATTATTTGTTGAGGAAAAAATAATCTGGGAATGTTGATTGAATTCCAAAATTTGTTAAGATTAGAAGAGAGAACTAGGGAAGAAGGTTAACCCACATTATATAAACAAATTTGTAGGAAGTGAGTTAAGAATAAAATGAATTCCAAATACAGAAAAATGAGATGAAGAGATTCTGGTCTTCATAGGCATCACAAAGTTTGAAAGTTTTATTGAATGATATTATGGCTGAATCTGGAAATGGCATGACAAAAGGTTTATTAAGGCGGCAATCATGAGCGGCCAAAATGCGTTACACAGGCTGACTCATCCCTCTATTCCCTTCCAACATATAAACGCCACATTGCCCTTCAAATTCTCCAACAACTCCCCACCATTTAACCAATCCATCAACCCCATTTTCGAACCTTTGCTGCCTCTGCCTTTCGTTTTCCTTTCCAATCGCAACCTGCTTCTTCCACTTCTTCTGCATTCCGTTTTACTGCCCTCAGGTCATTATCATTCCCCTCTTTAATGCCCTTCACTTCTCCTGCCTTTTTGTTTTCTGCTCATATTAGATCTGTTGTTTTCCCTCATATTTGTGTCTTGGACGCGGTCCTCAATTGTGGCTTCCTTGTTGTTTAGATTCTGGGATTGGGAGTGGCAATGAAGAGGCCAATGTAGACTGAAATCGCGAGGTTTTTTTTGTTTAGGCTGCTTAATTTATTGGTTATATTGCTGTTTAGGGCAACGCATGTGTTTTGGTTCTTCTGGTGATGAACTTCGTACTATAATACCTATTACGTTCGCTCCAACTGAGATAGATAATCCACAATGCTTTACGTTGAGCATCAAATTATGATTGATATTGATATTTTGTTGTGTTTTTATGCCTTCTAACAACCATGTTTGGGGCCCCTGGAATTTACTGTAGATCTGAACAAACGATGGTTGCACAGGAATTTACTGTAGATCTAAACAAACCACTCGTGTTCCAGGTAAGATCACCATAAGTTCCTTATAAATTGAAAGGAAAATTGGTTAGTTATGTTTGTACTCTCATAGGTTGGGCATCTTGGAGAAGCATATCAAGACTGGGTTCACCGGCCTATTGTTAGCAAGGAAAGGCCTCGATTCTTCAAAAGCGACTTCTGGGAGGTGATGATTTCTAGTTTTGAGGACTACAAGATTTGGTTAATAGTGTTTTTGATATGTTTGAATGTGGAAACAGTTCTGTACACGCACAGCATGGTGGGTGGTTCCAGTTATATGGCTGCCAGTGGTCTGTTGGTTCATTTCTATGTCTATGAACATGGGGCACACACTTGGTCAGATATCATTCATGGTCATCTTCGGCATTTATATTTGGACATTGATCGAATACATAGTGCATCGTTTTCTTTTCCATATTGAAACCAGTAGTTATTGGTTAGTGTCTCTCTTCTTCTGTGCTGTTGTTATTCAAATTTGGGAATATGTTAATAATAACACTGAACATATTCATGGTTTAGGGGGAATACCATGCATTATCTTATTCATGGTTGCCACCACAAGCACCCAATGGATAGTCTACGACTTGTTTTTCCTCCTACTGCCACAGCTGTTCTGTTAGTTCCAGTATGTTCACTCTTCTTGGCTTTGAAATGAGCAAGCAATCAATCAAAGACGTATATAATCGTTGTCAGCCAGCTGATTGTAAATTTTCTTTGCACCCATTGTTGACACAGATATGGAACTTGGTTAAACTGTTTTTCCCAACATCTATGGCGCCTGCTCTGTTTGGAGGTGGTCTTTTGGGTTATGTGATGTATGACGTCACCCATTACTACTTGCATCATGGCCAACCCACCGGAGAAATGCCGAAACATTTGAAGGTAATACGTTGATTCTATTCAACCAAACACGTTATATATTCAAGCAAATAATGAAATGGGGCTGTGTTGTGTTGTGTTGTGTTGTGTTGTGCAGAAATATCATATGAATCACCACTTCCGCATCATGAATAAAGGCTTCGGTGTCACTTCATCACTTTGGGACAGAGCGTTTGGAACACTACCTGCGTCAAAAGTAGCTGAGAAGACTAGATAGCGAAGTAGTAGTGCTCTCAAGGGAAACTAGATCATTTTTGTCTTCTATTCCTTGTTTCTCACTGTATTTGTTCCATCATCATATTCCAAGGATGAAAGGGTTTATATAGGAAGATTTGATCTAGTCTAATAATGGAAGATTCGTCGGTGCCCCACATTTTTATTATTATTATTATTATTATTAGTTCACCACCTCCAGGCTGAGCAAGCCATATCTGTCATCTTACTTCTTTTCTCAGCATTTAACTTGTCAATAGATTAAGAGTTCAATGTAATATCTTGAAAGGATTCAAGTTTACTTGTTTTCGAAATTGTAAATCAAGGAGTTAGTAATTAGATACAGAACAAGTTTAAAATCTATAATATTTTAAACACTAATTTTGTGGTGGTCAGCCTGCTAGAACATGTCCATGTTCTTCATTCGTTCATTCACAAGAGATTGTGACGAGTTGGAGGGATAATCTGTTCATTTTTTAAGAAATTCTGGGGATCAACCCTGGTCTTCACGCCCACCAATCTCTCAAAATTCCCTTTGAAATACTTCTCCCCATAAACCCTTCCTTCTTCCACGCTCCAATGCCCGCTACTCCCAACGTCAATGTCTCTATAATTAAGAAACGCTCCTCTTGGATTCTTGGTTACGTGTATGGAGTCATCTCTTCGTACATTCTTCTCATCATGTGTATCCTCTTATTCTCTTCCTCCTTCCCTCCTTATGAACAGATTCTCATCCAGCTTCTCTATAACTTCCTGCCATTGCAAAACGACATCTGTTGCTCCTTCTTCAATTGTTCTGTTCACTTTAAAAATGGAACTAATGTCATCTGCCATGACAGAATGACTCCAAAGCTCCCTCCTCCTCTAATGGCCCAGAATAAATCTTCCCCCATTTGTTGTCTGTTTAGAATCTTCCCTTTCACATTGACAATCTCTGAGCATCCAAGATGTTGTCAGTGGAGAGCCCAAATTTCCTCATCAAATTCCCATACCCACCTCCTGAAATATGCCCACCAGTGCCCGCCGTTGGGAAAACGCCTCCAGGGAAGCCATGGGCGTTGCTCCGATTAGCAATGGTGTAGTAAAGTTCCCCCAATGTCGCCCCTGCTTCAACCCAATCAGTTTCGTTTGGAATATCGACATTGATAGCTCGAAGGTTGAACATGTCGAGGAGGACGAAGGGGTGTTGGGAGACATAGGAGAGGCCTTCATAATCATGGCCGCCACTGCGGATTCTGATCTGAAGGCCAACACGTTTGGCACAAACAACGGTTGATTGAACATGGGATTGGTGTTTGGCTGCAACAATCGCTAGGGGTTTTGGGGTTGTGGGGGTCTGAAATCTGAGGTTTCTGATGTAGAAATTGAGGACTGGTAAGATGGAAGAATTGTTGGGAGTGAAAATGGCGTCAGAAATGGGGAATTGGGGCAGTGAATTGGTGCTTAGACATCGAAGAAAGGTCTGTTGAGCAGAAGCAGAGGATAGCCATGGAGAGAAAATGAAGATGACAGAGAAGAATGTAAAGATTGAAGAAGATGAAAACCCCCGATAGGATTTTCTAATTCATGGTCTTCACACGAGTTCATTAGATTAGATAGATACTTCATAATTTTGATAAATATTAGAGAACTTTAATTCTCGAATCTAATATGTATCCTAAATAAATACAATTTTTCTTAAATAATTTAAAATATATACAATCTCACTACTCATTGATGATTTATTATATTAGATTAAATTAAATGCTAAATATGAATAATAATTCAACCATCTACAATTAATTTAAATCCCATTATCACATTATACATTTTAATTTAAATTTAAATTCAACGCGTACTTTTTTAGAATTAGAGTTTAGTTTTCTTTATTTGTATTATTTTTAATTATAATTGGTTAGGAGAAATCAAGAGATTTTGTTTTTTTCTTTTTATAGTTTTAACTGCTTTAAGAAATAAATTTAATTCCAACCGTTAAACGTATATTAGCCTCAAGCGTTTACTCCAAAGCAGTAAATAATAAATTCTTTTTAAAATTTTAAAAATGCCATTTTCTTTTTATAATTTACAAAACGTCTTTTTTGTTAATATATGAACAAAACTATTTCTAAAGTGACATTTCAATAAAAGAAAAGTTTTAAAAAGATATTAATGAAAGTTTAAGAAAAATTGTAAATATCTTAAAAAAAAATTAATTTAGGCTAAAAATTACCAAAATTATTAATTTCAAATTCTATATACACTTGCACCGTGGAATTTGAAGTGACACAAGGATTAGAAACAGCAAACATGTCGCCTCTTTCTCTGATCCTCCTCCTCCTCCTCTCCCTTCCATTAGCATATTCCTATGAAACAGAGGGATCCCCTGTTCAAAGTTTTGTGGACTGTCTTCCAATTCACGCCTCACCCTCCATCCACGGTGTCATCTACACTCCTCAAAACACTTCCTTCTTGTCCATCCTTCAATCTTACAACAGAAACCTCCGATTTGAAACTCCACAAACCCCAAAGCCTGTGCTGATCATCACGCCTCTCGACGCAACCCAAGTCCAAGCCACCATCGCTTGCGCCAACCCCTTGGGGCTGCAGCTCCGAGTGAGGAGCGGCGGCCATGATTACGAGGGACTCTCCTATCAAGCTCATGTCCCTTTTGTTCTTCTCGACATGTTCAATCTTCGTAAGATTGATATTTACAAGGATGGCTATGATTACGTTGCGTGGATTGAAGCTGGTGCCATTCTGGGCGAGCTCTACCATCGCATTGCCGAATTCAGTCCAAATCTTGCGTTTCCTGGAGGGGTTTGCTTCACCCTCGGCGTTGGAGGTCATTTCAGCGGCGGTGGCTACGGGAATCTCATGAGAAAATATGGGCTTTCCGTTGATAATATTGTGGATGCTTTGTTTGTCGACGCCACTGGGGCTGTTCTTGATCGTAAGTCGATGGGGGAGGATCTTTTTTGGGCTATTAGAGGAGGTGGGGCTGCCAGTTTCGGGGTTGTTATTTCGTGGAAGATCAAATTGGTGTCAGTCCCTGAAACCGTCACGGTTTTCAACGTGAATCTGAGACCAGAACAAGGCGCACTCGATGTGGCCCATCGATGGCAGTTCGTGGCCCATAATCTGCCAGACGAATTGTTTATAAGACTAATGCATACCGTAGTGGGTTCAACAACTGAGAAAGGGGAGCTCACAGTGCAAGCTTCGTTCGTTGGTTTGTTCTTGGGAACACCCAAATCGCTCATTCCGATCATGAACAAGAATTTCCCTGAGTTGGGTCTGAAGCAAAGCGATTGCCGCGAAGTAAGATGGGTTGAATCCACCATATTTTGGTACAAGGGCCCCATAGGAAGCAACATTGATATTCTGCTTGAAAGACCCAAAAACGGATCCTATTTGTTCAAGGGCATGTCGGACTATGTGAAGAAGGCGATCTCGAAGGAAGGGATTCTGGGGATATGGCGAACCATGGTCGGATTGAATTCCACCTCATTGGCGATGCATTGGAACCCATACGGCGGAAGAATGTGGGAAATTCCAGAATCTGCAACTCCATTTCCACACAGAGCAGGGAACCTGTATTTGATTCAGTACACGTTATCGTGGATGAAACAAGGAATGGAATCCACAAACCATTACATGAACATTTCGAGGAGTTTGTACGAATACATGACTCCATTGGTGTCGAGCTCGCCCAGAGAATCGTTTTTAAATTACAGAGACCTTGGGATTGGGGCGAATCCCAGCACTCAAACAAACTACATGGTTGCTGAAGAATACGGGCGGAAGTATTTCAAGGGGAACTTTGATCGGTTGATGAAGGTGAAGACGATGGTGGATCCTCATAATTTCTTCAGAAACGAACAGAGTATTCCTCCGTTACCTAAAGAAAAGAAAATCTTAGTGGCATGACTGCTAAGCATATAGTTGCTGTGGTGTAGTGGTTATCACGTTAGTCTTACACACTAAAGGTCCCCAGTTCGATCCTGGGCAGCAACAAATATATCATTCTTTTTCCTTTTTAATAAATAACCTTATAAAATTAGAAGGGCAATTAATTGAAAATGCCTAAATATATATGTTTATATGAATATGAAGATTGTAACGTTTAACGGAAGGGGGAATAAATAAGTGTTATTAATAAATGATTTTTCGTTTAGCGGTTGAGATTAGGTCAAATTCATACTAAAAACAATATCTCAAACAAATTGTTGATGCATAATTATATTTTAAAAATATAGAAATAATTACACCCTCCAAAGAACTAATTAATTATGAGATACGTTAAGCCCTAAAAAGAAGCTTGTAATGTTGAAACTTTTGCATATTATTTTTCTATACATAGATATATTGAATGAGTCACACGCCAAGTAATATATATCAATAAATTAATTCCTACTTTGAATCGAATATGAATATTCATTTAGTCAAATGAATGGTAAATTCATATTCTTTAGAACATAATGTACCAATAAAATAAGAGAGAGAAAATAAATGTTTATTTAACTCATATACTTTGTAATATTTAGACACTTTTTAGGAATCTTTAGTTTATCAAAATACAATAATTGTGAAAATCGTACTGTAGGCAGGCGGGACTAAATCGTAATTTTGCATAAGGTTACTCTCTCCTTAGGGCACCAAACACAGGTCTAGGGTTTTTTTTTTTTCTTTTCATCTGGCCGCCAAATTTGCTGCCGCAGGTACTGCCTTTCCCTTTCTGAGTTTGCCCCTTCTTCTCCCTTTTCCTCAGATCGGAGAAACTGAATCCAATGGTCGGAGGCTTTGAAGTGGGAGCTGTTCCCTACAACCCGGACGGTTGGGGTCCGCCGGAATCGACTGCCACCCTCGCCGCTTCCTCTAACCTCCCTCTCAATGTCCCCTTTGCCCCATTCTCTCGCTCCGATAAGCTTGGTCGGATCGCGGATTGGACTCGAACAATGAATAACCCTGGTCGCCCCAAGGCTGCTTCGGATTCCGTCTTCGATTTCACTAATGACGATTCCTTCCCGGCCAATGCCGACGAGGACATGTCCTTCCGTTTGGTTGATGGAAAGCCTCCTCCGCGCCCCAAATTTGGCCCTAAATGGCGATTCAACCAGCAAAGGACACAGCTACCTCAGCGCCGTGACGAAGAAGTTGAGGCTCGAAAGCGCGAGGCTGAGAAGGAGCGGGCTCGCCGTGACCGTCTTTACAACCTCAACAGGTCTAATGTCAATGCGACCCGTCGTGAAGCTGCTGTCTTCAAATCCTCTGTGGAAATTCAACCAGAATGGAACATGCTTGATCAGATTCCCTTCTCCACTTTCTCGAAGCTGTCCTTCTCTGTTGCTGAGCCCGAAGACCTTCTTCTGTGCGGCGGGCTAGAGTTCTATGATCGAACAAACGACCGAATCACTCCCAAGAACGAGCGCCGTCTTGAGCGCTTCAAGAACCGCAACTTCTTTAAGGTAACTACTACCGACGATCCTGTCATTCGTCGTCTCGCAAATGAGGACAAAGCCACAGTTTTTGCTACCGATGCCATCCTTTCTACCCTTATGTGTGCAACGAGATCGGTTTATTCCTGGGACATTGTGGTTCAACGTGTTGGGAACAAGCTTTTCTTTGATAAGAGGGATGGGTCACAACTTGATTTGCTTGCTGTCCACGAGACCTCTCAGGAACCCTTACCAGAGGCGAAGGACGATATCAATTCAGCGTATTCACTGAGTGTCGAAGCTGCTTACATTAATCAGAACTTCTCGCAGCAAGTTTTAGTTAGGGACGGAAATAAGGTGGCCTTTGACGAGCCAAACCCATTTGCAAATGAGGGAGAGGAGGTCGCTTCAGTTGCTTACAGGTATAGGAGGTGGAAACTTGATGATGACATGTATCTTGTGGCCAGGTGCGAGGTTCAAAGTGTTATGGAGGTTAATAAGCAGAGATCATTCTTGACTTTGAATGCTCTTAATGAATTTGATCCCAAGTATTCAGGTGTCGATTGGAGGCAGAAATTGGAGACACAGAGGGGTGCTGTTTTGGCCACAGAGTTGAAGAACAATGCCAATAAATTGGCAAAATGGACAGCTCAAGCCTTATTAGCTAGCGCAGATATGATGAAGTTGGGGTATGTCTCTAGGGTTCATCCTCGTGATCACTTCAACCATGTCATCTTAGCTGTGGTTGGGTATAAACCGAAGGATTTTGCAGCTCAAATTAACTTAAATACGTCTAACATGTGGGGTATTGTCAAATCCATTGTGGATTTGTGCATGAAATTGAAGGAAGGTAAGTATGTTTTGGTTAAGGACCCATCCAAACCACAGGTTAGGATCTATGAGGTTCCTGCGGATGCATTTGAGAATGACTATGTTGAGGAGCCACTGGCTGAGGAGGACCAAGTGCAACCTCCAGGAGAAGATGAAAATGGCGCCACTGCTAATGCGGGGACTGATGATGCCGCAGAGAAGGTTGATGCTGCTCAAGCTTAAGGCTGCCGCATTCATTGCTGTCTTTCCAAACTTGCTCGGTGATGTTAAAATCTTGACCTTTTGTGTCTTTTTACGTTCTTCCTTTTTCTGAGAATTGTTATTTGTATTGGTTTTGGATTCCGGCAAGCATAATATGACACATTGCTCGAGTAACTGTCACTCGTTTAAACGTTTTATTAGCACAGCTCGTTATGATGCTTTCATCGAAGTTTTGAACACGAGTTCTTTTCAATATATTCTATTGAGTTATGGACGGATAGATTGTTCTCTTGTTATGCTTGTCGATTCTAGTTTCCAATTGTGTTAGTCTGTTTGATTGGGATAAATAAAGGGTTTGATATTCATCTACATTTTACCTTCTGATTGTGGAACGTGAGCTCAGCTTAGTAGCTGCTTGCTTCTGAAATATGGGCTAATTTGTGTTTCTACGCTCGACTATTTCACTCGCCCGCACACACACCTATCATTACACTTTTGCTTGGTTCTCCAACCCTTCCCTTGAATGGGGAGGGGTTGGAGAAAGAGAAGGGATCAGCTGAAAATTTTGTTAAAGCAGAGGTCGAAATGAAAGTTTAACTGGTAAATTGCACCAAATTGATATGATCTTTATTTGAACTTGACTTGAGGCAGGTAGGGCTTTCAGCAACAAGGCACTACTATGTAATGCACAGTGCTTTAAGATGCCAACGGGAAAGGGGTTTGGGATAGATGGCAGTGGCAGTGGCAGTGGCAGTGGCAGTGGCAGTGGCATTCCCTTGCATGCATGAAAAACGAGAAGCTCCATGTTTCCAGTTCATTCTAGTACGGATTTGCACGTTAAGTGGCCTACCAGACAAAATGAATACAACTCAGAATTAAAAATATAGACACTAACCAAATATAAACAGATTTTTGAATAGAAGTGTCATTTTATTGCAATTCTGTAGCTCCTGTCCTCTTTGTTTGAAGATGAGCAGTATGTTTAACGATGTCATAAATTTACATTAGAGCAGACGGGACAATATCCTTTCGAACAATTCTTGTGATGGAAAAATAAGAACTACGAAGTTGGTCCAAAGAAACTTCTCTCTTTTTGTTGTCAAGAAACCAATCTCTAAAACAACCAGGGGAGGATTCAACAATCAAAGACAGAGAGCAGAGTAATGGGGTGAAGAAGCTCCTCACTGTTTGTTCTCTGTAGTTAACGCATACATCTTCACCGGAAATAGTTCTTCGGGAAATCCCGTTTGGTCCTAAAAACCATCAGCAATAAAGGCAAGCTATTAAATTAGTAAGTGACATAGGAGGAATTATAGTGAGTTTACCCTTGATTTATATGCGTAGAGTCCGCAGTGGTGGAATAGATGTTTATAGTATACATCCGATCTTGTGATGCTTCTATCTTCTTTATCTAATATAAATCCTGCAACGCTTTCATTTTTTATTTTCACCTACAATAATTCATAAATAAATAAAAGAATTGCAAAAGGCAAGTACCAGATTTTGCAATGTTTTCCTTGAGAACGAAAATTCCGCCAGCTTTTAGACCCAACTGGAAGTAATGAATGGTTAGAGCCAAAAATAGGTCATAAGTTCACCAAAATAGGTCATAGCTTACCTTGGCTCTTCTAAAGAATGCGATAAAGTCGTCATCAGTGAGATGCCCGATACACCACTGAACCCAAATAACATCATATCTGCCTGCATCTGGCGTGAATTCCTAGCAGTAGAATACAACTTGGATCCATTAAAGAAGGGACAAAGACTTGCACCAAAAACCAAATCAAGAAGAGCTTGGGCATACACAACCACACAATATAACAATTAAATGTGAAACACATTACTTGTAGAGGCACACAAAAGAAGTTAGCGGGTTTGTGAATATCAGAGGCACCATTATTTTCTGGAGCCAAGCTTTGACGGGCAGCCTCTAGAAAATGTGATACAGGTTCAACAAGATCAACCTAAGATATATGCCTACACATTGTTAGATCAAAGGATTTGAAAGTAAGCAGATTACAAATTAAACTACCAATGGCCCGAACTGAATAATTTGTTACACAGTGTAGGCAGTAAGAAAATTGCTACCAGAATCTTATTGTTTTTATGTATGACAATCCCCAATCATTTGGTTCGAGCTGTCTGATGAGATTGCACAATCCAAAAACCAAAGATGGGCAGACAAAAAGCAAGAACGTAACAAGGCGGGAACAAAAGAAGTAACTAATATAACCTTACCTCGTTGAAATATCTGATAAGAAGATTCTTCGTGACTCTTCCAATACCAGAACCACAATCTGCAATACCAACTCTACCATTAATTAAACTACAAAACTCATCATATACGTTAAAAAAATTCCAAGAAAAGAAGTAGAGCAGTCATAATCTACAGTCTCGAATCAAGAAAACTTCAGAAATGGGTATTATTAACCAAACATACCAAGAGCCACAAGGGGGCGGTCTTTTCCAGCAAAAGGGAAACGTTCGGCCAAAATGGATTTGAGAAAGACTTCACTGCCCATGATATCGGTGTCATTAACATAGCCATAGCCGCCCAAGACGCCATCTACCGATGCGTCTAAACCTTGCCAGTACCCTAAGCCTTCGCGATACCATTGGGTGCGCTTGGTGGGGTTTCCAACCTGCTCCATCCACATCTCTTCTGCATTCTTGAATTCGCGGCCGTCCGTATCAGCACCGCTCACGTCCATTGGCTAAGGCGTGGAGCCCCGTCTCTGAACTCCCTCCCTCTGATTTTCTTTCCTTCCTTGCTTCGTTTAGCTTGTGGGAATTAAGAACACAGTTTCCAGCTGAGGAAATGAAAGAAACTGTGAGATTGTTATAAACTTTGGTTATCCACCATGAACGATATAAGCTTTGGACTTTGGACTTAAATACGGGCCCAATTGCACCATAAATCGCTGAGCTCAAGTCAACTATCAAAGGTAGATCGCAATAAACCTAACGTAAGCTCGGCTTAATTGAACTATAACGGCTGGGCACAATTCAGCAATCAGTAGCTGGAGATAATACAAGTACAAAACGCTAGACCCATAACAACTATAAAGGTTGGGAGCAATTCAACTATAAATGAAAAGGCCCAATTTAATTATATATAGCTCGGTCCAATTTAATTATACAAGATAGGCACAACTAAACTATAAATGATTCGGCCCAATTTAAAACAACGCAAGAGCCCATTTAAACTATCAAGGATGGGCCCAATTCAACTATAAATGTCCCGGCCCAATTATACTATAAACGCTCGGCCCAGTTAAACTATAAAAGGCTCGGCCGAACTCAGCTATAAAGGCTCGGCCCGATTCACCTATAAACGGCCAGGCCCAATTAAATTACAAAAGGCTCCGCCCAATTTAACTACATAAAGGATCGGCCCATTTTATCAATAAAGACTCGGCCCAATTTAATTGTAAATAGCTTGACCAATTCAACTATAAACGCCCAGGCCCAATAAAAGTATAAATAAATGGACCCAATTCCACTATAAATCGTTTGGCCCAATTTTACTATAAAGGGAGGGCCTAATATTACCGGCCCAATTTAATTATAAATGGCTCGGCCCAATAAAACTATAAAACCTGAGCCCAATTCAACAAAAAACGCCAGGCCCAATTCCAATATAAATGGGTCGGCCCCATGCAACTATAGCGGCTCGGCCTAATAAGACTATAATGGTTCGGCTCGACTCAAATATAAAACCTTGGCCCAATATAAATAATTACTCGGCCGATTCGACTCAAAAGGCCAGGCCCAACCATACTATAAAGTATGGGCCTAATTCAACTAAAAATGGCTCAGCCCAACTAATCTAGACAGGATGGGCCTAATCCAACTAAAAAACGCCCGGCCCAATTCTACTATTAATGCTAGGCACGATTCCACTATAAATGGCTCAACTCCATACAACTATAACGGCTGGGCCCAATATGACTATAATCGCTCGGCCCAATTCAAATATAAAGGCTTGGCCCAATATAAATAAATTACTGGGCCAAATCGATTCTGAAGGCTAGGCCCAACTATACTATAAATAGCTAGGCCGAATTGATCGATAAAAAGCTGGGCCCAACAAAACAAAAAACGCCTCCACCAATTTGATTATTAATACGAGGCCCAATTCCACTATAAATGGATCGGCCCCCATACAACTATAACGGCTGGGCCCAATACATTTATAATGATTCAGCCCAATTAAAATATAAAGGCTTGACCTATAAACGCTGGGCTCAATTCCACAGAAAAACGCCCGGCCGAATTAAACTATTAATGTTAGGACAAATTCAACTATAAATGTCTCGGCCCCATACAACTATAACGACTAAGCCCAATAAAAATATAAAGGCTTGGGGCAATATAACTAAATTACTGGGCCAATTCAACTCTACAGGCCAGGCCCAATGATACTACAAAAAGCTCGGCCCAATTGAACTATAAAGTCTGGGCCCAAATCATGTAAAATGGCTCGGCCTAATTGATCTATAAAGGCTGGGACCAATTCAACAAAAAACGACGAGCCCAATTCAACTCTTAATTGAAGTCCCAACTCCACAATAAATATCTCGGCCCAATACAGATATAATGGTCCGGCTCAGTTCAATCTAAGGCTTAGCCCAATACAACTAGAAATGACTCGGCTGAATTGAACTATCAATCCAAGGCCCAATTCCACAATAAATGGCTCGGCCCCATAAAACTATATCGGATGGGCCCAATACGTTTCTAATGGTACGGCCGAATTCAAATAAAACGGCTTGGCCCAATATAACTAAATTACTGTGCTTATTCAACTCTAAAGTCCGAGCCCAACGATACTATAAATGGCTCGTACCAATTTACTTGTAAACTCTGGGCCGAATTGAACTCAAATAGCTGGGCCAATTAATCTATAAAGGCTGGGCCCAATTCAAAAATGCCAGGCCCAATTAAACTATTAATGCTTGGCCCAATTCTACTATAAATGGCTCGGCCCTGTTCAATAATGAAAGCGTGGCCCAATTCAATCCGCCCAATCAAATTATAAAAGGCCTGGCCCAATTAAACTGTAAAGATTGGGCCTAATTTATCAAGAAAACGTTCGGCCCAATTTAACTATTACCGTTAGGCCCAATTCATCTATAAATGTCTCGGCCGATACAGCTATAACGGCTTGGCCCAGTACAACTATTAATGGTTCGGCGCAATTCAACTCTAAAGGCTAGGTCTAATACAACTAGAAGTTGCTCGACCCAATTCAACTTTAAAGGCTGGGCTCCATTCAACTATAAATGGCTCGGCCTAAAAGAACTATAAATGTTAGGCCCAATTCAACAAAAAAACGTTCGGCCCAATTTAACTATTAATTCTAGGCCCAATTGCACTATAAATGGCTGTGCCCAATACAACTATTACGGCTGGGTCCAATACAAGTATAATGGTTCGGCCCAATTTAAGTATAAAGGCTAGGCCCAACACAATTAGAAAGGCTAGGCTCAATTCAATTATAAAGCCGCGTTGCAATTCTAATTAAATGGCTTGGCCCAATTGAACGATAAAGGTGGGCCGAATTCAACAATAAACGGCTTGGCCCCATGTAATTATTAAGGCTAGGCCCAATTGAACGATAAATTTCTCGGCCCAATTCAAATATAATGGCTCGGTCCAGATGAACTATATAGGCTGGGCCCAATTTAACTTTAAATGGCTCGGTCCATATGAACTTTAAACGCTGGGCCCAATTCAACTTATAAAAGCTCAGCCCAATTCAAATATAACGGCTCGGTCGAATTTTACTATAAAGACTAGGCCGAATTTAATTATGAAAAGCAGGGCCCAATTTAACAATAAAAAGCTGGGTCCAGTTCAATTGTAAAAGCTAGGGCCCAGTGCAACTATAAATGGCTTGGCCTTATTGAACTATAAAAGGCTGGGCTTAATTCAGTTATAATTGGCTGGGCCCATCCGATAATGTAAATGACAGAAACCTTAAACTATGGCCCGTCTAATTAGTTTTTAACTTTATTAATTAGGGCATATCGGCCCCTCCCCAACCCAGTCCGTTACAACTTCTATTTACTCCCCCCAGATTCTTTTGAAATAGGATTATAATTCAATTGATTAAAATATTATATCTTCGACATTCATATTTCGACCGTCTATAATGTTGAATTATTACTTCTTCTCTGTTCCTCGTTTATAATGCAGTTATAAGAGAACTTTTTTCCATTTTTAACACGCCCCTTTAGTTTCACGGGATTCCACATGCCCCATTCCTCCTGAATTAGAACATAAGCTAGTGATACTTTCGGCAATTGAACTCTCACCATTTAGGGATGCAACACTTCACTGCTTCACCTAACAACACGATTCATTTTCACAATTTAAATTGCTCCCATTTCACTCGTCACTACTATGGAAGTGCTTTTTTTTTTCACGAGAGATATACTTAGGCAACTATACCGTGCTTTATATTTCATTTAAGAGAAGTGGAAGAGAATTTAAAAGTGTGTTTAATTTATGTGAATGATGATTATTAAGAAATTTCGGTGAATAAAACTTTATGTAAATATATGGTTTGGGGATGAGTAAACTCCATTTCAATCTTTTCAAATCATGGGAACAGTCACTCCCATCATCCTACTTGCACAAACCCATTTTCATCCAAAACCCATAATGCCTCCAAATCCCATCAATCAACCAACCAAAATACACAAATTCCACTTTAAATATATCACCATATTCATCTTTTTTTGGGATCATTTGTTTTTTTTCTTGTGCTTTTGAAGTGACTTTGATGGACAGAGAGTGAATTTTTTTTACTAAGTTTGATGGATTTGACTAAACTAAGTGTCACTATTCCCTTCCTCAATATATAACCTAAAGTTCATGTATATAATGACCAAGAATCATAAGCACACAGTTGCAAATGTTTCCAACAAAAATGATATCTGACAGTGAATCCCAAACCCAACAGAAGGGCCACCTTAAGAACCCTAATTTTCATTTCTGACATTTGTTTATCTATTAGATGAAGCTAGGATTTAGGGTTTTTTTTTTTTTTTTTTTTTTTTTTTAATCGTCTTCGTAGAACTTAATGATTCAGTTAAATATAAATGGCGACTTTTAATCTCTGAGAGAGACTAAAGTTGTCAACACACAGTTACATATATAGTTAAAGCAGGCCAACCCAAGCATGCTTCTTTAGTCATCATATCATGCTGCTAAATCTCCATTGAATAGACCCCTCCTGAGATTCATTATTAAAAAAAAATTATCTTAAATCTACCCTGAAACAGAAACAAACGCTCTTGGGTAACTTGTTCTTGAGATACCACATCGATTGTAGAGGGGAACGACATTCCTTATAATGGTGTGAAACCTTGTTCTCCTCTCCGTAATAGACACATTTTAAAATCGTGAGACTAACGACCGATGGACAATATCTGTTAGCGGTGAGTTTGGAATGTTAGAGTGTTTGTCTCTATGTGTTTCATGGATTCTATGGAGTACATAAATACCACATTTGAGTAGAAGAAGATTCATACTACAACCACAATGATTTTGCTTCTAGAACAAACGTATTCTCCATATTTCTATAAGCATATAGCATAGGATGTCAAATATGAGCAAGTTAGGTCGACGTGCAGAGCTGATCTTGCTCAAAATTATGTGGTTTTGTTCCGCATGCAAGATGACGCACACCCCAAACTTAGAAGATTGCAAAGGTATTTGTATTAAGCTTATAAACTGCGCCAAATTATAATATATTTGTATATACGAACAACTCATACAAATACAAAAATGAACTGAAGAAGGGGAAAAAAAGAAGAAATAACTCAAAGCATGCTTCCTTTCTTTAA